GTACATTTATAATTTAATGTCCATATCAGATTCTTCAAAACAAGTAATCATTTATTCACAGGTATTTTTCAGTTGTCTTTTTGTCTGAAAAAGTTCATGTCATAAAAATAGATTACCATAGGCCTGGTAACTTATTGCAGTATTTCTTCTTACATTTAAGAACCCTGTTTTGTTTGTTTTGTATTGTTTTGTTTTGCAAGTGACAGCAGGAGTCCTTTTCACATAAGTGGAATTTAAAGGGACTGTAACTGTTAGTGAGACATCTGTGTTACATAGTAAGAAGAAGATAGTTATAAAAAATTCCTTAAAAAAAACCTTTAGGAAAACGTAATAATTTTTGCTTTATATTCTTTTTATACAGACTTGGTTGCTGTTTTCTTCTAATCTCTGAACAATTTAAAAGTGAAATTTGTCATGCAAGGAATACAATGGAGGAGCCATACTCATCACAAAATCATTTCAAGCTCCCTCGGTAGGGGGTTGCTGTCTCATGCAGACATGGAAATTAGTATTGGCTAGAGGCCTAGAAGGCAGAGGAATGACACAACTAGAAGTTAAACTGCGAACTATTAAGTTTACTAATAATGTATTAAATCTAATCCTTTACAGCTAATCCTCATTCTCTGGGTTGCTGATATTTATCTTTTTGAATGCTTAACTTTTTGAGTATGAAAATGATCTCTCTTCTCCTGGACAGGGCACATAAAACTGACTCATAATGAATGTATAGGACACACTTCAGCAGTAGGTATTATGACTAACAAAACAGATATACGGCTTGGGCCATTAGGGTCTGAGTCCTTCTTACGCCTTCAGTTCTTGCTAAAACAAGTTATTCCATTATTACTTAATTGTACTTTTCTCTTAAAATATCAAAATTATAATGCTAACCTACTTCACAGCTTACTTGGTTATATTAGGAAGTATGCATAAACTACTAAGAGTTGTTACTGACACATAGTATTTACTGAGTGCTGGATACAATGGACATAAACATTAGGTCTAGAAGAAGAGAAAAAAGTTTCCTTCCTCAGGAGACAGAGACATGCAGATCTCTGGTGATATTTTGATTATACAAATAAAGGCTGTTTGAAGTTCAGAGAATGGAGCTTTCCACTAGCTAACCATAATGGTCTGGAGGTCTGTGGTTAGCTAGTGGCAAGCACCTTTCCCTGACATTCAGATAGGCTTTTATTTGTAAAAGCTAAATATAACTACATCTCTGTGAGTTCGAAGCCACCCTATTCTACATAGTAAGTTCCAGGACAGACAATGTAGAGAGAATGTCTCAAAAAAAGAAAAGAAAAAGACAATGAAGTAAAGGATGTGGCATTTTCTAATTCAAAGACTCATAGAAATCCTTGAAGACCAGGATTTATCCCTAGTGCTTGAACTTACTTTTTGGAGCCCATTCTCTTTGGAGGGATACCTTGCTCAGCCTAGATATAAGTGAGACAGCCTTGGTCCTGCCTCAAAACGATGTGCCAGATTTTTTGACTCCCTAAGGGAAGCCTTACTCTCTCTGAAGAGAGAATGGGGGTGGGGAGGGGGGAAGGTGGAGGAACTAGGAGGAGGGAAGGGAGTGGGAACTGGAATTGCTATGTAAAAATGAGAGAAGATTGTTTAAAATTTAAAAAAATGAGAAAAAAGAAAATTTACATAAAATTAAAGGATTGTTACATAAGAAAAATTTGCTTTCTGTGCACTGAATTAACATACAAAAATTTTAGAAAAAACTAAGGGGATTGTAACTCTCCTAGCTCCATCAGCATGGTTTCTAAGAACCAACAATGATATCAATGTTCTGCAGTTGACAGGGTAAGAACATTTTAGGATGAGCCTAGGGGTAATCAGATCGTTCTGAAATAGAGAAAATTGAAAGGTCAATTGTACTTTGAAGCTTGCCAGTCTCTTTTCTATGAAGAATGCAAATGCACAGTGCCGTCTACAGAATGATTTCGCACAAGTACCATAGCTTTAATAAAATACCACCTTTATCTTTCTTATATGCACATTATTCCAAGCTCACATCTAAATCATCCTACATGCTGAGAGCTATTCTCATTTCCTCAAACCTATCACTAAATCATGTTAAATATCTTTCAAGAATAATTACCTCTCAGCTAAATTTTCGAGGTGTGCGCATGTGTGTGTGCTTGTGAGCACATACTGGAGCATACACACCACACACACACACACACACACACACACTCACAGAAGTGGGATGAGTAAATCCTGGGATACTGTTATATATTGTAGAAAATACTGCCTAATATTTTGATATAAAACCATGAAAGACGTTGTAATATATATTTTAATGCATTTAACCATTATGTTAATTAATAAGGACACTAAGAACTTTTGAAATAACTTATTGTATTGTCTTACTGGAGTTTTTCCAAACTTTCCATTGTCTCCTCTCTTAATATAAGGTGTTAAAATCTTTCCATCTCTTCTCTGTCCTTTTTGCCAGTTGGTTTTTCTTATTCTTACTGGGTCTCTGACTTTCTCTTGGAGAAAGGCAATCGAAAGCTAACTTTAATTTCCTGAGTTGCATGTTTGTAGCCTGATTAATGTGTTTGTGGATTCTTAATAAGAATGTGTGCATATCCACAGTGATGTTTATTAATTCATAGAGCAGCTGCTCAAAGGCAGCAAGCAGAGAGATGTCTCCTCCCACTGAAGTCTCTTGGCAGCCATCAAGACTTTTCCCTGCCTGGTCATTTGGAGAACAGTCTCCGTACAGAAACTGATGGTCCTTTTTCTGCCCCTGGCAAGGGAACTCTTGAGCCAGCAGGGGGGCCAGCAGGATAGGAAGTTCAGATCTGAATCTCTCCAATGTGTGGAAGATGAAATAAAATTCTTAATGAGTCGAGTAGAGACCACAGCTCATTTCAATTATTTTTTAATTGTTTTCAGATGCTGCCGGGCATGCTTCGTTTTGCTCTGCAATAAACAGAGCATACAACATGGTAGTGGATCACACTTTAGACCCTGAGGAAATATCCCCAGGAAGTGATGAAAATAATAGAGGCATTACACACATTGGATCAGGTACCTGGCAGATGAGCTGGAAAGCCAAACACAGGGATGGGAGAACCAGAGGCCCTGTATCCCTGCCACTTGGAAGCTCATAAGATCTATTTTCAAGTCCTCACATCCACTCTTGAAAATTCAGTACAAAAATAGGGGGCCCACAGTGACATCTTCTGTAGTTGTTCTTCACTAAGTTTCCATCTGCCTGATCTCCCCTCCTTGCCACCCCCTACCACCTACCTGGGGAAAAGACTCACCACAGGTTAGTTATTTGAGATGCCCATGTTCACAATTAACTCAGAGTTTAGAGTATTTGTTATGTGAGAGGGTTATTTAAAACAGAAGCATCTCCAAAGACCCTCCTCTGAAACTTGAAGTATCATGTATAGTCTTTTCATTATTTCACTGAAAACTATAAAATAAGGTTGTTAGGCAACATTTACTAGTATGTAATTCTGAAAAGTTCAAACATATTAGTATGATGGTGTAATATCTCATTACTTTGAGTAGAAGATTGTGGGGAGACACAGCCCCAAGATGTCCCCTGGCTGGATGCCAGGGAGACAAAATGGTAGAGTTCAAAAGAATAGAATAAAAGTTCTAATATTAGTCCAAATGTATTGCAGTGGTAACTAAACACAGGATCAAATACTTGTAATTGATAATCCTTCTTTCACTAAAGATTATATAATATAGAAAGGTTGAGTCAGGGGAAGAATAGAAGAAAACAAGAAAGGAGATAACATATTAGAGGGAGACATTTTAGGTTCACAGAGAAATCAGGCAGCTGGTGGAAGTAGAAGCAGACACCCACAACTAATCACTGAACTGAACGGGAATCCAGTTGCAAAGAAGGACGGGTAATGAGCAAAGGGGTCCAGACCAGGCTGGTGAAACACACAGAAACAGCTGATCTGAGCATATGGGAGCTCTTGGCCCCCAGACTGATAGCTGGGATACCAGCATGGGGTTGATCCAGAGTGGAGGAACATGAGTTTCAGTGAGGAAACCTCGGAAATCTACGGGACATCCTGTAGTAGTTCAGTAGTTATCCCTAGCATAGGTGTGGACTTTGGGAGCCCATTCCACATAGAGGGATATTCTCTGAGCCAAGACACACTGGGGTGGGCCTAGCCCCTATCCCACAGGATACAATAGACTCTGATGACACCCTATGGAAGGCCTCACCGTCCCTGGGGAGCAGAAAGGATATGTGATAGGTAAGGTTTTAGTTGGGGGGTTGGTAGGGGAGGAGGGGAGGGAGAGGGAACTGGAATTGACATGTAAAACAATCTTGTTTCTAATTCAAATAAAAAACATCTGCAAAAATATATATATATTTATGTGTCACTAATGGTCTTTGAAATATAATTCCCATAGATAGGATGCATAGTTTTATTTTACTTATATTCTGTAAAGTGTTTACCATTATATTGAAATTGTTCTTAGTATTTTCATTATTTTTAAATTATAATGTGATTAGTTTATTTCTCCTTTTCCCTTTCTTCATTCCAAACTCTTACATTTCCCTCTCCTTCAACCTTATGGCTGGCCTCAATTTTCAATAGCTGTTACATGCATGCGTCTATACACATATACATGCATATACACATGCATGTATATACATATACATAGATACATACATACAATGTACGTATATATTTCTAAATACAACATATAAAGTCTGTACAATTATTACTTGTATGTATCTTTTCAGGGATGACAATGTGATATTTGATAACTATTTGGAATGGTCTTCCTTATGGAAACACTATTTCTTCCATTCTGAGCATTCTTCAATTGCCTGTGGTCTTTCCCCATGCACTTTGGCATGTCTGTTGGTGTCACCCTTATTTATTTGACTTCTGGGAAGTCATGCTGGTGAGGCTTCACAAGGATGGCTTCTAATATTACAGAAAACATAATCTCATAGAAAACTCCCTGGCTCTTACAGGCTTCCTGACCTCTTTCCAAGTGTTCCTGGAGCCACAGGTGGAAGCAGTTGTTTTGTAGATGTTGCCTTTGTGACTGGATTCCACGACACTGCAGTTTTGTTTGTTGTGGTTTCATGTAATAGTTTCACTCTGTTGCAGAGAAGCACTTTCAATGAGGGGTGAGGACTACACAAACCTGTGGGTATAAAGTCAGTATTTTCTTTTCTAAATTAAAATCTGATATGGGTGAAATATAGGTTGACACCAGAGCATTTCACTAGTGTGCACAAAATAGGGGGTTCAATATTAAATATCACAAAATAAATTCTAAAATGATTAAATAATAACATAACTAAATAATATTTTGTTGAATTTTATTAAATATAAAGCTCAAGTACATGCATTTCTATCTGATAACTTTATTGCAGAAAACTACAGTGAAAAAAAAATGCAAAGTAGCTGGGCATTGGTGGTGCATGCCTTTAATCCCAGCACTCGGGAGGCAGAGGCAGGAGGATCTCTGTGAGTTTGAGACCATCCTGGTCTAAAAGAATTAGTTCCAGGACAGCCTCCAAAGCCACAGGGAAACTGTCTTGGAAAACAAAAACAAAAACAAAAACAAAAACAAAAACAAAAACAAAAAAACAGGCAAATTGAGGATCTATTAAACTTCTTAACCTACTTTTCAAGGGATTAATTTCCCACCAAGAACACCCTCAATAAGAGTGCAGGACAGTGACTATTCGGGTTTTTCTTCAGTCAAATTGAGAATTATGTTTACAATTTTTAGTGAATTTCACATTGTAAAATTAAAACGATGTCTTAGCTTTCATCTCCTTTATTATTAATGAAGTGAATGTTTGGAGAATGATTTGTTCATGATCTTTATATTGGTATATCATTTTCCCCCATCTATTTTAAGCCCTCTTTACATAAGACAGTAACCCAGTGTTTGGTACATTGGTAGCCCATATGTTCCCAGATTCTAAATTGCCTTATAGCTTACTTATGGGACACATTTGCATCGAAATTACTTTATTTTATATTGCCAAGCTTATTGGCATTTATGTTTACAAATTCTGTACATTTTGGAAAGAAGGTGAAAGTTTTTGACCTGATAATGAATGAAACAAAATTTGCTTCTATTTTCTTGTAGCTCGTTTTTGCTTTTTTCACTTTTTGCTTTTACATGTTTAAATAAACTTGAAGTATATGTTGGCATTGTAACAGTTCATGAGCCAAGAAACTTGATTTTTCTCTCAAAAATAACTTTAATGAATAATTTATTTCTCAATTTAAAAATGTATTTAATCACATAAAAACACAGTTGTGCTTACACAAGGGGGCTGTTTGATCCATTTGTAGATGTAATCAAAATTATAAAAATAAAAGAGTATATACATGTAAATAAAAATATAAAAATAAAAAGGATTATAAACATGTAAAACTAACTAAATGGAAATGATTTCTTCTGAGTTATTTTTCTATTTTTATTTTTTACTAAAATTATTTTTCATACTCTACATTTTGATGATATTCTATTTCTCCCCTCAGTACCTCCCAGATCCCTCCCCTTACCCCACTTCCTACCCAATTTCATGTTCTTTCCCCAACTCAGAAACATACAACACCAAAAAATCATAAATAAAACAAATTATGAAAAAAAATTTAAAAATATGAAACAGCATGCATAAAACATAAATCTCATGGACCTCAGTTTGATAGCTGGGGAACCAGCAGTGGACTGAACCAGGCCCCCTGAACATGGGTGTCAGCTAGGAGGCCTGGGCAGTCTATGGGGCCTCTGGCAGTGGAACCAGTATTTATCCTTAGTGCATGAAATTTGGGAGCCAATTCCCTATAAGGATGCCCCAAATGATGTGACAGACATTGATGATTCCCCGATGGAATGCCTCACTCTCCCTGGAGAGTGAATGGGGAGGTGCAATTGGGGTGTCATCGGGGACATTTCAAGATGGGGGGGGAGAGAGAATTGGTATATTGATATGTGAAATAAGATTGTTTCTAAATTAAATAAAAATGTATATATTTAAAAAACAAACATGGAGTCTGCTTTGTGTTGGCCAATTCTTCCAGGGCATGGGGCCTGCTCTAGGGTATGGTTGATATATATACCCAGGGCACATCATTCCATAAACATGATTTTACTTTTCACAGAAGGTACCAATTGCAAATAGCTTCTTGCTTAGGTGTGGGACTCTGTGTGTGCTTCTCCATCTTTAGGCTGACATTTTGTCTGGTTTGAAAGTCTATGTGTCTTTGCAAGGATGTCACAGTCTCTGTGTACATATATGTATGCACCAAATGTATAGTATTTGGAAGACAGTTTCTTTGGAGTCATCTAAAACCTCTGGCTCTTACACTTTTTCTACCACCTCATCTACATAGAACAATGAGACTTGAAGACAGGGGTTTGCTAAAAAACATCTCCTTTGGGGCTTATTGTTCCAAACGCGAGTTATTCAATCAAAATCTCTGCATCTTGTCCACTTGTGATTCTTTTAGTTAATCACCATTACTGAAGGAAAAGAAGTTCTACTAAAGGTTGAGCGATGAACTGATTCATGAGGTAGCATAATGTCATTAGGAAGCATTTTATTGCTTTGTTTGTTTGCCACAGTTGTTCTCAACCTATGGGTCACAACCATTGGAAAACACGTATTTCAAATGTTCTAAGGAACTGAGACACTATTTGGTAGCAAAATTACAGTTTTGAAGTAGCATCAAAAATAAATTCATTATTGGGGATGCCAAAGTATTGCTGGAGTTTCATTCCAGCCTGGTCCCACAGCCATTTAGGCCCAGATATACACACAAGACTTATATTAATTTATAAACTGTTGATCAATGGCTAGGACTTCTTATTTGGCTAGTTTTGTCTTACTTATTAACCCTTTTCTATTAATCTATGTATTGTCAAGTGGCTGTGGCTTACCAATAATCCAGCATGTTACTCCTTCAGCAGCATGGTGTCGTCGTTGTCGTCCCCCCCGCCCGCCTCTCTCTGCCTTCTCCCCCAGAATTCTCCTGGCTTCCTAGCCCCCCCTATCTCCCTGCCTCTATCAGCCAATCAGTGTTTAATTTATCAAAGCATAAGAGAAACATATACAGAAGGACATCCCCCATCATCTCCAATTTTCTTCCTTCTGCCTCCCTAGTGTTGGGATTAAAGGCATGTGCCACCACACCCAGCTACTCTATTTCTTTTCTTTTAATGATAAATGGGTGTTTTATTGGGGAACAACTTACACAGATAATAGTAAAGAAACACCATGGCATTCCTGCTCCAGAAGATATAGTCTCTGCCCTTCCAATGCTCTCCAAGACCCAAGAGAGAGTGCCTGCCCCCACTTCTCTACCTTCTGGTCATGTCTGCACCTGAAGTCATGCCCAAAGGGGTGTGGTCACTAATACATATTCACTGGCAAGGCGAGATGCTACTATACCTAAGACTATCAGAAATATGTCTTTTTGGATGGTTGTGACCACAAGTTGAGAACCAATATTAGTTTTTCCCATAGAGTCCATGATCTATTTAGTTTCAGTTATTTAGCTATTGACCATTTTAGTCATGTCCTGTATGGGTTTCATGTCATGGAGTGGGCTTTAAGTCCAGGAAAGAAAATTTGGTTACCCACATAATATATGTGCCACAAATGCAACAATGTCTCTTGAAAATAGTTTTGTGATTTAGGTTTCAAGGGCTTTTGTTTGTTTGTTTGTTTGTTTTGTTTTGTTTTTTTGATACAGGGTTTCAATGTGTAGCTTTGTAGACCAGGCTGGCCTTGAACTCAGAGATCTGCCTGCCTCTGCCTCCTGAGTGCCAGGATTAAAGGTGTACACAACCACAGCCTGGGCTAGGTTTCAAGGTTTATTGCTGGATAATATTTGTGATTACTTTTCTCCTCTAGTAGTGTGCAAAGATACCTTCCAGTACCACACATGGCAGTCAGTAGGGCTGGAGCTTCTAGCTTGACACCAGCTTTGATTTCTCCATCTTCAATGACATAAGTAACTCATATCTTCAGCAATAGGACATTAACATCAGGTTGTGGGAGTATAACTAATAGCATTGACCATAGCTTCTAATACATGAGGAGGCATTTATGGGACTGTCTTGGTCAGTGCCTTTAAAGTTGTAACCTATTTCTGACTCTGGAGGTTTTACTCGGTAGCATAAGAGTAGAAGGGAGTATGGGTAAAGGAAGGATTATGGGAAGGAATAACTAACAAAAGAGGCTTTTTGAAAAGCCATATGAAAATTTAGTACTATAGAGGCTACACACACACACAATATATATATATACATATATATATATATATATATATGTATATAATGTACATCTATCTATATGAAGCCTCTATAGTACTAAATTTTCATATGGCTTTTCAAAAAGCCTCTTTTGTTAGTTATTCCTTCCCATAATCCTTCCTTTACCCATACTCCCTTCTACTCCCTACTTAATCCTTTTATTCTATTTTCCCATTCATTATTTTATAACACTATTTCCTCTTACTTAAAAGATCCCCTCCTCCCCACTGGTCCTTTATTAATAACCTAACCTCTGTGGTTATTCACATTGAAAACACACACACACACACACACACAAAGTTTCAAAGACAATGTCCACAAATAAGAGAAAACATCTAATGCATGTCTTTTTGGGTCTGGGTTACCTCATTCAGGATGTTTGTTTATACTTTCACTCATTTACCTGACAAATTGATAATTTTCGCTTTCTTAACAGCTTAATATTCTACTATGTAAATGCACCACAACTTTATTATCCACTTATCAATTGATAGATTCTAGAATATTTCCTAATTTCTGGCTATTATAAATATAGCACTAATAAACATGAATAGGCAAGTATCTTTGTAGTAAGATGTAGAGTCTTTGGGGATTTTTCCAAGGAGTTTGGGGAGATAGATTTTCATCTCCTTGAGGAATTTTCCTAGGGGCTGTAGCAGTTTGCACTCTCACCAGCGATGACAAAGTTTTCTTAAGTGTTTCTCAGCTATATGTGTTTCATATTTTGCAACTTCTCTGCTTAGTTCTACACTCCATTTTGACATTTGGCTATTCATTTTCTAGAAATTTGTTTCTCAGTTCTTTATATATTCCAAGTACTAAACCTCTTTCCTATACATAGTTGATAAAGTATTTTCCAATCTGTAGCCTGCTCCTTTGCTCAAATAATGCTGTCCTTTTTCATACAGAAGATTTTCAGCTTTCTGAGTTCTATTTATTGGTCGTTGATCTTAGTGAATATGCAATTAGTATCCTGTTCAGAAAGTGCTTTCCTGTGCCAATGAGTTCAAGCCTATTCTCCACTTCTTGTTCCATCAGTTTCAGAGTACAGCCTTATGTTGAAGTACCTGATCCATGTGGAATTGAGTTTTTCACAGGGCACACAGACATCTAGTTTGATGAACACCACTCATTGAAGATGCTGTATTTTCTTCACTCTGTATTTACAGGTTCTTTGTCAAAATTCAAGTGTCTTAGTTCTTCAATTCTTGACCACTCCAGTGACCATTCTCTCTCTCACTCTCTTCCTCTCTCTCTCTCTTCCTCTCCCTCCCCTCTGGTTTTTCCAGACAGGGTTTCCCTGTATTGTTTTGGAGTTTTCCTGAAACTGGTTTTGCAGACCAGGATGACCTCAAACTCACAGAGATCTGCCTCTTCTTCTTCCCAAGGACGGCTGAATCTGTTTTTGTTTTTTTGGTTTTTTTTTTTTTTGAGCTAATCCACCAAGCTGATTTTATTATTAGAGGGTGAATTGATTAACTAATTTTTACATTTAGTCCTAAGCTATAAGACTCTTGAGTCAGGCATGGTGAGCACACTATCTATCTTGAACTCAGGGCACAGAGACAGGGGAATTACAAATTTGATGTGAGCCTTGCCTTCATAATAAGTTTAAAGTTAAGATGGTTGACAAAATATAACCCTAGGTTAAAATAATTAATTAATTAATTAATTTAAAAATCACTTTTAGACAGGTGAGTTGGGGCATGACTTTAATCCCAGAACTTGGGAGGCAGAGGCAGGCAGACCTCTATGAGTTCAAGGCCAGCCTGCTCTACAAAGTGATTTCTAGGACAGCCAGGGCTGTTACATAGAAAAATCCTGTCTCAAAAAAACAAAAGAAAAAAACCGTCTTCAAGAAAAACTAATACGTCTTATTGTCTTGTTCTAACACGACCAAAATCCTATGAAAATATAGCCATAATATTTTAATTTTAGGAATTGTCTAGTATTAATAATAGCATGTATAATATATAATACATAAATAACTACTGCAAATCATCACATATTATTTATAACAATAAAAGCTGACTACCCAAATATTAAACAACAATATCTATTATTTATCAAGAATTTGCTACATTGAGGGACTAGGAATTAAACAGATTCCCTGATAGGAAGACAGGAAGAGGGGACATGAATAGGCAGTAACTGTGTTGAAATTCCAAGATGGCTGGCTTCTTCCTCACTCCCATGACCTGACACAAAAGCCTGGTAGCTTAAAACAAAGGCCTGGTAAAGGTTATTTCTCCAACTGTTGGACCACCATCCTATGATATTGCCCAGCATTAGAGTTCAGGATCAGATCTGGACATGTTTATCCCAGTTGTGCTTACCAGTCATACTGTCTTTATTCAAACTAACCAAACCTAAATAGGTTAGAAAACCTTCAGAAATTTCAAGAACCCCAGCCCTTAACGAGATCCCGTGTTTCTGGCCTCCTGGGTCATTCCTCTGCCTTTCAGAGGGTCTTTCTATGCTTGTGCTATGTTTACTAGTGATCCTTGCCCCTAATAGAAGCCTTTCTTCACTACTGTATTTTCTTGGCTCTGCTGAAGAGGTTCCCCGAGGCTACATGTTGGGCTCCTGACTTTTCCTGCTTTTAATTCCTTAAGTAGAAGAGAAAATAAACCTGATCAAGTTCCCCGGGCAGTAACACTTTTTGGAGATGGTTTATGCTGTGACTGGTAGACAGTGTTATAAAAAAAAAATTCCACATATTGCCGGAAACTAGGTAATATTAATATTCTTATTATGAGGACTGAAACATTGAGAGACAAAGTATTACTGGCTGGTCTTGTGTGTCAGATTGACACAAGCTAGAATCGGCAAAGAAAGAAGCTGTAAGGCATTTTCTCATTTAGTGACCAATAGGGGAGGACCTACCCCACAGTGGGTGGTGCCAACCCTTGTCTGCTGGTCCTGGGTTCCATAAGAAAGTCAACTAAACAAGCCATGGGAAGTAAGAAGCTTCCCTCCATGGCCTAAGCATCAGTTCCTGCCTCAACACCCCCCCCCTTTAGTGATGAACAGCAATATTGAAATGTAAGCCTAATAAACCCTTTCCTCCCCAACTTGCTTTTTTTGTCATGGTGTTTCATGGCAGCAATAGAAACCCTAACTGCAACACAAAGTAAAGCCCCAAACCTAATTTGAACTCAGTTTAGTTCAGGAGTCAGGAATCATTGATTTAATGAAGAATAAACAACTGCCTTCAACAATGATCAATTTCTTTTAGTTCTACTTTGTGTGAGATTAACTATCTTTATTCTCTACTCACAGAGTGCGATAATGTGGTCTTGGATTCCTGACGTGGATCAGCTTTGAATTTCATTTTTTTATTCTGAGTCCCATGTTTCTGTCTACTTCATACCTTCACAACAATTGGTGCAATATGAAATCCTTACATAACTGTTACGATAAATCTTTCTGTCAAAAGCTGCCTGAGCCCCACCGCCACATGTGAGCTTTACGCCAGCCGCCTGCCCGAGTTAGACACAAATGAATACACAGAAATTTGTATTAGGTACAATGCTGCTTGGCCAATGACTAGGACTTCTCATCTGCTAGCTCAGTCTTAATTATCATAAATCTATATATTTTATAAGACTTATCTTATCAGAGGCCTTATTGGAGTCCCTCCTTGTTGGTGGATCACATCCTGCTGCTGGAG